AGCGTAAATCGAGCGATAACGGTAATTCCGACGAGATGCTTCGCCTCTTGTTCAAACCTATTCTTTCCTCTCTCGAGCGAGTCTCCGGTTTGACTAGGGACAGCATGACAAGTAAAGCGCGCCGCGCCTCTGAGTTACGCAACCTGCTTGGCTACATTGGCGGATTCATTCGGAAGACCTTGAAAGGAGAGAACTACATGCCGTCCCTTGAGATTCGCTTGTGGTGAGTTCATTTCATATAACCGGCGGGTACGCCAGTTCGCTAACCATTTTGATAGGGAATATGTTGCTATCAACTACTGGCCGAATAAAGATGCCGGAGGTCGTCAACTCCAGACGATGTATCAGAAAATCGTTGCTGCGAACAATGCAACCGCCAACAAGGACGGGTCTGCGTCAACTCCATACTCTGCTAGAGATTAGACTCATCAACTTTCATCCGCGCGTCTGACAAGGTAATCATCGATGCCTTGTCTCGGAGACCAATATTCAATCTTTTCCTCCTTTACCCCTTTTATCAAGCCTCTTCTTGAGCTACATCTATGCATACGTGAAACGGCATCACATTGGCGTTTGGTCAGTTGACAAAGGTGGTTTCGAGCGGGCTCCTCATGATATGTTTGGTTTATTTGTGTAAAACTCTTTTCTTTTTTAAGTTTCATGGTTTCCATATGGACCTGTTCCCCCCCGACTTCGGGGCGTCGGGCCTCGTCTCTGCATCTTGTCGGTTTTTCCATTTACAGGGACCCCCCTTATGGAGTGTTGGGCCCTGTTTTGCGTTTCCTGTTTCTCCAAGCCCATACGGGCCCCCCAACTGGCGTGGGCCCTATGGTGATGTCCTTTCGCATTTGTTATTTTCACTTCGTGTATCTTCTATTATGGGGTCACTCCCTGGAGTTTGATTTCGTTTTGGGATCATTCGTCGTTTCTGGGAGATGCATTCAATGCGTTGTAGACCTCTTCTTTTCTTCATGTCATCTTTGATGCTTACGGTGTGGCGGCTTTTAGCGATCATCTGGGCTTGACATTGTGTCGAATATCTTATTTCATCTGAGCTTTCTTTGCAGGGAGGGACAAAAAGAACATGATTCTCATCACTCATCACTTCTGTGCTTGATCGTGGATGCTCTTGGAGATCTTTCGTAGTCTGCGTAAGATGAGTCGGATATTAGTCTGGTCAGCACCTGGAAGACTACAGAGGAGTACAACGACTTGGTGCGATGTAGGTAGTGGAACGATACATTGATTTCCAGATTCCCGACCTATCAAAATAATGATACAAGACATTATTGTTCGATCTGCAGATACATCCATGCACTGAAAAGTCCGATGTGCCACACTGAATCGCAAGTACGTAAAAAAATCCACAATGACGCCGAAAGCTTAACCCGCGAAAGACCAGTAGAGAGAGGAAGTAGGTAGGTATACGGAGAAGGAGACAAAGTCACGTAGCACGAGATCATGGAGGAATCGACATTGAGTCGCGGCTCAGACTTGCCTCTACATCAGCCACAGCTACGTGCTGTTTCTGGACACCATTTGGGGCATTGTCTGATTCGGCTGGGAGACCCTCCGAGGCCACAATGGCACTGAACAACCGGAGTTCGGCGTCGATGACATCGTCGAAGATGGTCTCCTTCTCCAGCCACGCCTGCTTCCTCTTCGGCCTGATCTTCTCCCATTCCTCCTTCAGCTCCTGGCCTTCCTTCTCGGCCCAGTGGATCTGCCGACGAAGCAGCCGGTAGAGATCGTAAGGCCGGAACTGGAGTTCATGCTCGTCGAGACCGATCTCGGAACCGAACTCGGGTAGTTCGAGCTCGTCGAGGTCTTCGGGGACGACTGCCTCATCGTTGGCGATCTCGCTGTAGCGGTCTGCCTCGTCCTTAGGTTGCGATAGCTTCAGTCTGATACGCTGGAGTTTACTGACGGGAGTTCCGGCGGGGGTTCCCATCGCGGAGGCTGGGACATTGTGGCCTTTCGGTACGGGGTCGGAGGGTCGGAGGGCTTCTGTCTCGTGGACGGTTCGCATGTGTTTGGCGAGGGCGTCTGAACGGGTGAAACTGCGGTCGCATTCTGGAGGGATTTGTTAGCTCTGCACTCAATGGAGATTTTGTCAGGCAGGAATGAGGGCGGATGAAAGGTGCTCACCGGGTAACGCGCAGTAGAATGGTTTCTCCCTCGTATGGCTCCTCATATGTGCGCGCAGTGCGTAGCCGCTCGCATGCGTTTGGCCCTTTCGAGGACAGTCGGACCACTCGCAGGAGTATCTCTTCTGTCGGTTACCGACATGATCGTTGTGGATGTGCTGGACCAGATCATCCATGTTGCCGAGATCGCCCACGTTGCATCCCTCCCACCGACACACGGTAACCTGGTCGTTGCCCTGGCCGCTGTAGTCGTCATCCTGGCTGCCGCCTATCAAGGCCAGGAGGGTGGGAGAGTTGGGGATGTCGCCGGAGGTATCTGACGAGATCGAGGACGAGGGGGAGGTTGGTGGTAGGTCTTCTTGAAAGGTGGTCGAGAGAGGAGTATTGCGATCCCACGACGCGACACCGGTGCGACGACGCTTGGAAGGAGGCAGGGTTGAGGCCGACGGCGAGAAGGGATGCTTGAGGTCTTCGCGATCCGACATTTCGTCGGACGCAATCGAGGAGAGGGGGGAACCGGGAGATTCGGTCATTGGGATAGGCGTTGAAGCCGACACCGGTGATGAAGAGTTTGAGGATTGATGCTGAACTGGATTGAAAGCTGCTGCCGATAGCGCTTCAATGGCGACACTTTGCGGAGTGATGCTGATGTTTGATTCGAGTATACATGCAGCGAGCAACACGTGATGAGGCTATTCCGATCGAAGAAAAACCCGCACAACCACCAAATCTTCTCTCTTTTCTCCTATTCAGCTTCAAACAACAATCAATTGCTCGACAACACGTCGTCAATAGACTATTGCCATCATCGAATGAACACAGCAGCTTAGCTTGGGGTCTAGTGTAAGTACTATTGTTCGGCCCGCTCTTCTTGCGTGATGATTTAATCAAGAATTCTGCAATGCGGACAATCTCCAGTCATTTGTGAGATTGCATGTTGACTATTCTACACTTGATCTGACTTATTCTCTGGCCTTCAATGTATTCTGCTATACATTTCACGGCAATATGCTGACAAGATCAGATTTATAGGATTATATATCTGAATAGCTGTCTGTGCTCAGTAATTAGATGTACCATATTCACTACAAATCTCTCTGCAACAATGAACAATTGCCTAGTACCGAGCACCACGAACTTCATTCTCTTTGAGAATTCTGTCAAGCTCTGCCATTTCGGCATCAGATAAACGGGGAACGCCCTGCAAATTCTGCGTAACCTTGTCGCTCGTTGTACCCCCAGGGATCGGAATGATGGTAGGCATACCTGGCTTGTCGCTCAGGGTCAGCAACCAGCCCAAAGCGATCTGGGCGGGTGCGACGCCCTTGCGAGAGGCCAAGCCCTTGACCTCGTTGACAAGCTTGATGTTGTGCTTCATGGTATCGTCCTGGTACTTGGGCAGCACCTTTCGGAAGTCACCCTCGGGAATCTCAGATAGGCTCGTGAAACCACCGGCCAGCACTCCGCGGCCCAGAGGCGAGTACGCGACGAGTGGAATCCCCAGTTCCGCACAGGTCTCGGCCACGCCGTCCTGCAGGGTGTGGGTGTCCCAGAGAGAGAGCTCAACCTCTACCGCGGCAATTGGGTGGACTTTGTGTCTGTTCTCGGTCATTAGTAACAGCGTAATGGCAAATTAGAAGTAGAACGTACGCTCGGCGGATCGTCTCCGCATCCACCTCACTCAGCCCAATTCCCTTGATCTTGCCCTCCTTGATCAGCTGAGCAAGGACCGTCACCGTATGCTCGACCGTCGTGTTAGGATCCTGCCGGGCGCACTCGAAGATATCAACCGTCTTCTTCCCGTCCAACACGCGTAGACACTCGTCCACGCTGCGGCGGATATTCGCCTCCGAGCCATCCGGAACAAGCTGGCCCGGCTTTACGCCGCCCTTGATACTCAGAACCACCTTGTCTGCGTTCTCAGGGTACTTGGTGAAGTACTTGTTCAGCAGGTGCAGCGAGTTATACTCCGGGGTACCGTAGAGCTCGCCACCGTTCCAGAAATTCGAACCAAGGGCGAGGGCCGTGTTTAGTGTTTCGAAGCATGTCTCTTCAGAGGGGGGTTGAGGGTTCCATGTCATTCCTGGCCTGGTCAGCAGGGAACTCAATTGAGAGTAGAGGCGCGCATTAAAGAATAACGTACTCATCATGCCGTAACCCGTAGGGCCGACTTCTTTTCCAACGAGAGACGGCATCTTCTTTTTCTTTCCCTTTCTTTCACTGGAGGATTGCGTGTCAACTCGATGTCTATGTGCAATTAGAAGCAGCTCAGCGATTGATCTCAGGCAAAGGGTAGGGAAAATTGTTGTATTTATGCTTCGGCTGCCCTCGGTCGACTTGAATATTGATGCCAATTTGTTGCATCATGCAGGGTCCACCCCGCGCCGGATGCCGACAGTGGCGGACTTAGCTCTCTTATCGCCGCCAAGCTTACACTTAACTCTGTCCATCTTCTATCTATTTCTATGAGTTAGCCCGGCAAAGGGGCGGCTATCGAGAAACCGAAAGCTGTGATTACCATGGTTGTACTCGCTGTCCGAGTTTAGACGGACTTAAAAGTGAAAAAGATAACGGATCATGGTGCGGATGCCGATGTCTACGGAGTACAGGGATGAAAGACGAAGAAGTATGAGAGGAAGAGCTTTTGGTGAAGATGTACTTTTTATTATCTATCGCTGACTATTACACAACCTTGTTATCATAACTCATTAACATCTAGCATGCTTAAGCGTTTATCGCCCCTGAAAGAAGGGCACCATCAAGAGAAGAGCCAACAGAAACCGCAAAACAGATGACCATCTCATTCTCGATAGACCAAAACCATCATATTCAGAAACTCCTAGTCAGAACGTCTCAAACTAGCGTAACCTCATCCTGAGAGAGGAACGCCTCGTGGAACTTGTCAACAAGTGTGGAGAGAACATCATCCACGAACCCGACGGGGTCCGATGAGTCCTGGGACTGCTGGTCATCCGAGTTGTTCTTGGGTTCGCCGACGACAGAGGAGTTGTGATCGGCCGTGACGGTGTTCGTGGGGCTCTTGCTGTCGTCGATGACACCGGAGTCCTCTACCTTCGACTTCCAGTCGTCTAGCTTGTCCAGGACGCTGAGACCGAGCGAGTCTAAGACATCCTTCATGAGCTGGTTGCGGTATTCGTCGGCTGAAGGGATCACTCTCTGCGCAGCTGTTAGTGGTTGAGTTGTATGTATGTATGTGGTGAGGGGAAAGGGACGTACGGGACTAGCAGATCTCGAGTGGAGATCAGATCTTGACGGGCCACTCCCTGATTTGGAGACGGGACGAGTCGACCCCAGGGAGGATAGAGCTAGGATGGTCAGGAGGAGGAAGCTCAGGAGCATCGATGACCGCGTTGACTGCGACATGTTGAGCGACTGAGTGGGATATAGACTTGTAAGCTCTTGTGGCTTGCTTCGGGGATGTAGAATGACGATGTCTTGATGATCCAAATGAACTCGTGGAGGATGATGTGAGGATGGATGATGTTTCTGGCAACGATTGCAACGATCATCGAGCGCTTCATATACCCTATGCATTCCCGGATTCCCCCTTGCGCGGTCGATCTGCCGCCGTCAGGAATGCGGGAGTGGCTGGGGAAGCAACGGTCACAAGGGCCAGGATTCCTCAGACTACCTGCCACGCTTCCAGATCGGTCGATATCTTCTAGTGCGGCTGCTGATAAGATGGACTACATGTCTAGCTCATTGTTGTGGCGCAGAATTGGAATGATGCGCCTGGGGAAAGAATTGTAGACATAGTCTATCATGTATAGGCCCTAGCGTTCTATTGGTCTCTCCAGTTTAGTTGATGGCTGTCATATTTCGCATAGGTACTCACTGCTGACCTTAGGGGACGGCTGAAGGGGTCCAGAGGTGGCCGGCCCTCTGACATTCCAGTCTGATAACACCCATGCCACTACTCTGAGTAGTGCAAGACTATTCTTGCCACTGAACATCATGGGACCCGCCACTATTATAATACAATTCCACGTTTTGCCGAGTTTGTAGCAGTTATGGTTTCATTCCCAAGTGATGGAGCATCGCATAGCATGGCGTTGCCCTATGTAGTGGCATAACTATCGTGAATAGCATTCACAGCTGTGGCCTAAATGTGCTGTCGCACTCTATAGGATAATAGGCCTGGTCAAACTTATTGTGCTTGAGAGACAATTTGACAGTAGACTCACTAAAGCCAATGCCACATGCATATCTAATGATAAGCTTATAACTATACTAAAGTCTGGACAATGGACGCGGTAGATGCCGGACGATCTCCCCGCTGTCAGCCGAACAGACTGAATACCGTGGAATCTTGCCAGAGCCAGAGTTGCTGTCGATACCAGCTCATCTTAGATCGCACTGAAACCTTTCCCCTCTTCCCTTGAGAAGTATTACCTTTTACCACTTCAGTCCCGCAGAGAATCGCCCAAGACCTACCCTCAAAACCCCCATGCTGTCTAAACAGAAACCTCTACAACCAAGGCCTCGAAACACGCCGGGCCGTTGTGGGCAACGAGCACGTTGACCGTTCCCTCAACAGCGCAAGCGACTTTTCCCGCCCAATACAAGATGTGACTACCGAGCGGGCCTGGGGAAACATCTGGAGCAACCCGGGTAGACCGCCAGCAGCGCAGCCTCTTCAACATCGGGATGTTGAGGGCATTGAACCGCTCGCATGAGCGGGGTGTTCATATCCGCGGTGCAGTCAACAATGGACTGACGGAGATCGAGGTCAGGGAGGCGATCATGCATGCGACTGTTGTTGTGGTGCGCCGGTGGGATCGGAGGCAACCAGGACGGCGGAACGGGTGCTAGTGAGATTGCTGGGCTAGGAAAGTATCAGCGAGAAATAGAGTAATCGATCTATGATCTGTGATAAGTCTCCAGATTGTACAGAAGGTCACGAAGGGTCTGTCTGGTGCCACTAACTCAAGTCTTGTCAATCCTCCCATCGCGATTCGCCGTCTGATGTCTGTCCGTCGCCCTCTGAATCGTGGACTTTTGGGCAGAAGCTGGTATACCCGAAGACCATAGATTGTTCGGCAGAAGCTCCAACGTTTTCTGGGTTTAGTGGACGGATTCAATTGACGACATCGAGTAGAGGGAGGTTTATTGACTTGAGCTAGCTGAGTCTAGTGTCAGTAGGGTGTCTGGAAGGCAGTGTGTATGGTGCAGGACTCACAAGTTGAGCGGCATCCTATCCCTGTACATGGCTGTTCTGCCTCGTTTGTTTGAATCAGTAGATCATTGCTGGGTTGTAGCCAATGCAAGTCCAGTTCGCAGCGAGCTTGAACGTCCTTCAAGCCCCTTAATCCGCGGGTCACATTATCTGAGCACCCAAGAACTAGAGACTACCTGATAGACAAGGCGCAGCTGCTGCAGGTTTGCTGACGTTGCATCTAAAGCCTGAAATGCAAAGCAAATCTCCGCTACGCAAGTGCTTGTATATCCAAGCCACAGCAAGCAACGTGTACTTCCATCAAGAGAGACACGCCCTTCGAGAACGCCCAGGCAACTCTCCGAAGCAGCGAAACGACAGCCTGTACCGTGTAGGCCCTGCTCAGCCTCCTTGTCGACCAACCCGAGCCAATGACGGAACAAGAATAGCACATAGATCGCAAACGCAGCTGTATGTCCAATACGTGGCTGACACTGACAAGAGAACAGCTGCACCAGGCAGAAACACTTATGACGCGATCTGACCCATTTACACGAGTGAACTTGTCAGTGTCGCTAGGGTTGACGTGATACGGCTGCATCGCATGAGTTAAATTCATGGATAGTGGCCCCTAGACGGGAAGGAAACAAATGAACCAACCTAAATCTCAGTATAGTTCTTTTAGTGCATAAACTATGAACATACGGAGTACGAATACTCAGCTCATTGCTATCCAGCGAAACCCTGCCCTGACATTCACTCGTAGCCTATCTAACGGTCTAACCCACTTCGGCCCTCATCCGGACAACCCTAGTCGAAGGCGCCTGGGCCCCACAGGCTAACCACGGGCATTCGTATGCATCTACGTAAGTTGGCGGTTTATTAAAGTTATCGAATCATCAAGCGAGGACGCCATGAGGCTAGCGATGCAGTAGTAAGGCGCCTCGGGGGTTCTACCACGTCCCTAGGAGTGATTTTGAGGCCCTGTGGCTTACGTATTTCCTCATGACCAGCCACAGTAGAGCGCTAAGTGCACATCGAGATTAGGTAGCATACGTAGGCCCTGGTATCAGGGCCTACCAGTAGACATCTGGATATCACTCCCGTCCATGAAGCTGTCTAACTATCTTGGTGCTAGACACCGCACTTCTGAATTCTAGGAGCGTCTACGCGTGGCTAGGGCAGGTCGAGAACCCCCACCGAGTGACGTTTCTGCTTACGCAGCTTATTGCAACTAAGCTTTGCCTTGTTTTTGTCTTTGTTATGAGGTCTGATTCTGTCTCGTGCCCTGATATCCAAAATCTTTTCTCTTCTTCTCTTTCCCTTTTGGGCAAGTGTGGTTTGTTGGTTCGGTGCAGACGGGAGTCCCCTATCTGATGGGGGCTGTTGCACTGGTGGTTTGGATTGCTTGTCCGACGCGTACTATGTACTCCATTATCAAGTCTAATAGGCTGTTTAGCAAATATGGATGCCAAAGTACAAATTGCAAAATGTGAATAGAACGAACGAGAGAGTCAGGTTCTCTGCTCCACAACTGCGTGAGGGGAAAGCAGTCCCACAATCCAATATGACTGACTCGAGTGTTGAGTTGCAGGGTACTGGGTATTGCGTATCTTAGTAGTTCAACGTTTACAAAATAAATTACAGCGTACGCATTACAGTAGCGGAAATACAGCCATTTCATTTTACATTACCTGGATACAAGTACTAGTTAAGGTACCTAGTTAATACCCGCTACAGTCAGGGTTTGGGCCCCAACTTTGTGTAGGAAGACCCTGAAGATCTTGGCTCATGAACAGGATTATCCAGCCAAGGCAATTGAATAGCAACAACCCGTCAATGTACTTTGTAGAACTGAACTATCAAAGCAAAAAGTTTTCACTGTATAGTATTATATCATCTTATAAGTTATCAATCTCTACTGAGAATACAATCCTGAAATGTCCCAACCCATTCCTGATCGTCGAGATCCCGCCCAGTCCGTCTTCGCGGATACTCTCCGGACTAACTTAATCCAAGCGATTCTCAGGGTCTGGGCCTCCTTTTTCCCGTCGTGGCGGTTTCAATTGGAGCTTCGCCTGAAGCATGATTGCATTTGTCCGATGTTGTGATCGTCGGGATTACATCTCAGCCGTACTCCCGCTCTACTGATTGGTTGCCATGTCAATGTCTCATAATTCCATGACATTATTCTGGTTACACTGCATATGATCATACTACCAAGTCCAAAGGAGGCCAACAGAATTGTAGAAGATGCGCATAAATAAGGTAGTGCAGCGGCTGTAGGTAGCCTGGTAGTTGGTCTATGTGGTAGTGACAAGCTGAGCCTGCCAGGGGCTGGATAAGGACCCTTTGTTTAAAATCCAGTTGGAAGACTGCGGAGATAAACACCACTCGAACCCTATCCACACGGCTGGCCTAATCCCCGGCTTACTGCAAGTGTCAGTGCCATTGTCATCGGTTGAGGAAGAGGCGCAAATGCCTACGTATGCAAAGCGCCACCGAAATCTAAAAGAGAGTGACCATCAAACATTGGGCATCTCCAAGGGTCCAAAAAGTAAAAAAAAAAATAGAATCGTTCTACTCTCTACTGCAAATGCTTTCACGGAATTTCTACGGAGTAGTTCTAACCACTTGTAAGCCTCTGATCTGGCGCTTGTTGGCGGTCCCCTTATTGGCCCTTGGGCTAATTTTAGGGCTGTGAACTGAGACAAGGTCAGCATTCGACAGGGTAGCCTGACAGTTCGACCAAGCCAACCAGTATCTAAGCCGAAGTCGGCGACGACTTAGATGCTAATTCTAACTAACATGGGCTAGAGGTCAGCATACACTTGCGGTTGGATTTGCAGGCCCTGTTTACCGTCCACGATGTATGAGGAGGGTTTTAGTGTTTCATCAGCCAGACAAGTCTGACAAATAATCGCGATCTGGACTCGATTGAGGTTGGGTTGCATAGGGATATTGGGAACGGTGGGGAATCTTTAGGTGTAGACAGAACGGGAGCCGTAGGGTGATACTAGGGTTGTTCTGGGTTGCATCAGCTAGGTGTGTTCTGAAATTGGTCATAGGAAATATCTTACCGTACGATGATCGGCTGGTGGAGTACCTATCGGACCGGATACGAATACGGCCGGTACGAGGTAAGCCTCGGCGTCGGCACTTGTGGTATCCGCGTGATTGGACAAGAGTCAACAATGAGACTAACCAT